AGGGGAGGCAGTCAGCATGATCCACATCGCAGACCCCATCGTATCAAAACTGCACGGGAAGCTCAGGGGGGGATCTCTGGGTTCCTAGTGGATCTTGGGACGAAGATGGGAGAGGTCTGGTGCTCCCAGCTCCTCGTCCCGCGCATGCTCGCCGTCCTCTACGACTGGACCTTCGGGTCGACGGAGGGGAGGAGAGGAGTGGCGGCACACAAGACGCTGGCAGAGGAGAGGTCCCCCGATGATAGCGATGGGCAGAGGGCGGGCGGAGCTGGGAAGGACGGGAAGACTTTCACGCGCAGAGACTCTTTTCTGCTGATATACGACGGCCCGACCCAGAGCCTGCCCCCGGCAGCAGCCTGACTTCCATCGACTCCTCCTCCTCCTCCTCCTCCTCCCTCCTCCCTCCTCCTCCTCCTCCTCCCTCCTCCCTCCTCCTCCTCCTCCTCCTCTTCCTTCTACTCTCAGTCACTCATCTGTTCTCAACGATCGCATTCCAGGAGGCTCTGAGGATGTTTGCTGACAAGCTTGCGGAGCACGTCAGAAGGAAGGTGAGGAGGGAGGAGGAAGAGGTCTGACGCAGAGTAGGCGCTCGCACACAAATCCATCAGAGACCAGCTTGCTGCTTGCCCTGCTACAAGAAGCTCCCCTCCCCTCCCGAGTCGTCTGTGCCGGATTGATCTGGGTCTCTTCTACTTCTCCTCTCTTTCGCCTCCTTTCGTCACCCGCAGTCCCAGGAGCTACTCGAGCGAAACCGAAACAGCATGCGCCGCACGTTCACAGTGACTCTGACTCATGGCTCAGACAGCGACCGTACGCTGCAGGTCTGAACTGCCTCTCGTCACCTGCATGCTTTACCCTCGCCTGCCTTCCTTTGCTGTGCTTCCTCTTTCTCCTCTCCTCTCCTCTCCTCTCCTCTCCTCTCCTCTCCTCTCCTCTCCTCTCCTCTCCTCTCCTCTCCTCTCCTCTCCTCTCCTCTCCTCTCCTCTCCTCTCCTCTCCTCTCCTCTCCTCTCCTCTCCTCTCTCATTTCAATGCAAGGTCGCTTCCCTCCTCGAAGCTTGCTGCTCACGTCTCTTCTTCCTCCGCGAGGCCGCCCCGAGCATCGTCTCGCTCCTGCAGGCGGCAGGTGCTTCGTGTGATCGGCTAGCCTGACAGGCAGCAGGAGGGCGAACATGCTCGCAAGCTTCTCCTGGTGTCTGCGGCTCTGGTGCTGACGCGCGTGGGAGAGAAGGAGGCGGTTGTCTTGTCTATACGCATCCTCCCGGCTCTCTTCAACGGTAGCTGATATTCCTCCTTCTTTCTCATCCTCCTCATCCTCCTCCTCCGCCTTCTCCTACTCCTACCTGCTCCCTCCTCTTCCCTTTGACTCTCTTCCATCGTCCTCTCCTCCGTTTCTCTTCCTCCTCTTCCCTTCTCTCATCCCATCCATAGGTGACGTCAGCACCCGCAAGTCCTCGGCCTTCTCTCTCTTCATGCAAGCTTGCACGACTATCCTGGTGCTCCCGCGCCTTCCGCCTGCTCCTCTCCCTTCCTCCCCACCTCTGACCTCCAGCAGGTCAGCAGCAACACCAGCAAGACGCAGGAGCACCTCCTAGCAGGGCTCGCGGCGTCGACTCGCTCGTATCTGCAGGGCATGGAGAGGAAGGGACCTCTGCTACCTCTCAGGTGCCTGACGTCACTCCCTCACCCTCCTGACGAGGATCAGACGCGCTTTCCACAGCTCCTGTGCCATGCTCAAGGACGTCACGGCAGAGGCTTCGAGTGAGACTCCTTTCCTCCACTTGATCTTGAGCTCTGAAAGTGTTGGAGGTCTCCAAGAGCAGCTGCTGGCTATCGTCCTGAGGTCCTCTTCCTCTCCCTCCGCTTCCACCGCTTGCTGACGCTCCTGCTCTCCTCTTCCTCCTCCACCTCCTCCATCGTTGCTTCCTCCTCGGCCTCTACCACTATTTACAGCATCCTTGCTTCAATCCGCGACCTAGTGCTCAAAGGCAGCGAGGAAGACCAAAGGGACGTCAAGGCCGACATAGCGCGATCGATCAGATCTCTCAAATCAGCTCCGCAGGAGGAGCCGCTCATGGCAGTGCTGCGGACTATGGGGGAGTGCGAGGATAGGAGAGCTGGCGGGGAAGGGGCAGGGGAGGACGGGGAGGAAGGAGAGAGAGGAGTAGGATGAGTGCTGGCAACAATTGACGATCTCTCGTAACTTCACTTGAGCTGCTTCACCTCGAAATACTTGCAAACCGACGACATGTCAGGGCGACTGCCATCAACCTCAGCTGACATCCAGCACACTTTGACAACGTCAAGGTCACCTTCGGACATCCTCATTGCCGCACATCTAGCACAGCAACGTCAGCTCCTCCTCCTCCCCCCCCCCCCCCCCGAATGAGTTTGCCTTGGACTTGATATAGAGCAGGAAGAAGAGATACCAGCGAGGGTTGTGCTCTTGAAGGACGTGCTTCTCGAAACCGCTTCCGTTCTATGCAAGACAGTCAGAATTGACGGGAAGCATCAGGCCAAGACACACCTGGTCAATCTGAAATCGTTCGAGGTTGCAGATGAAGCATGTGGACTTGAGATCGTTCTCTGCAGTCTCACGCTTGTCTCTCAGCCCGCTGAAGGCATCGATGACGATTCCGGTGATGATGGCAAGCAGCACGTAGATGAAGAGCCACTGCAATCGCGGTCAGCCCTTCATCTTTGTTCACTGGACCACCTGATAGAGAAAGATCCCAGACGACTCTTGAAAGGAAGAAAGACGGAGATGATACTGTCTTCTACACTGTTTGATGGATAATGTCCGGGCTGGGTCGTGACATCTCTGATACCATCTCTCGCATTTCATTGAATAAATAAGCAATGAAGCTCTGAAACATTGTTCTCTCCTAATGTAGTTGCCCTCTTCCTCCTTGAATGATGTCCTTCGAAAGCCATCCTTCCCC